GTACCCGTGGAGTCGCTGTCAGGCTCTGGACGATGAAGACAACAGGGCTCGGGGCAGATTTGATCGTGTTGACCGCCTCCTCGTGACTGGCAGCTCGCAAGTCAACACCTGACACCTTTATACACGCACGCACGCACGCACACGCACGGAGTTGAAGGTCAGACATTATGAAAATGTTAATCATAAAACTGTTTTTACTTATAAAGTCTTTTCCTTCATAAATGGGTCGCTCTGAAAGATTCAGTCTCAGGCTGTGTGTAAACTATGCATGTAGCGCACGTGTGTGTGTGTAGAGACCCAGGAATTAGACAAGGCCCTACCTCCAGGATCTTGTCCCCGGTCTTCAGACAGTGGGTGTTGGCGGCGGGGCTGTTGGGTAAAACCTGCTTGATGAAGATTCCCTTCAGTTCCTCTCCATTCCTCAGTCGCTTGATGACATGGCGACCTCCAACGATGCTCAGACCCAGAGACTGACCCTCCTCAGGCCACACCTCCACCCTGCACAACAGCGAGGTTGGAAGTTTGAATAATGTACCAGTCTCTCTGGGTCACCTGACCTGTACACAGTCTCCTGGGATATCATAATGTACCTGTGTGTGTGTGGGTGTGTGTGTTACCTGCGGGGCGGTCCCCAGTGGCTGAAGGCAGGTGTTTCCTGTCCTTCCCCCTCCTCTCTTTCAGGCAAGTCACTGTGAACACAGACCCACAGTCAAACACTACTTTTTGAAAGAAAGAAAACCTGAGCCTGAAAATCAGGAACAGGTGAGATGCTGGGCCACAGACACACAGACACAACTTTAACCACATAAAGCAGCGATGATTCTAAACAGAAATGCACCCACACTTGAGGCATCTACCTGTTTACATCTGTGTTCAAACCAGCAGAACGTGAAGCAGCTGTCCTACCTGTGGCCACTGATTGGCAGAGAGGATCCCCCCTGGCTCCGCCTCTTCCTCTTCGCAGTATCAATCCTCCTGACAGACCTCCAGGGGAAGAAAAACACAGACAGGAAGTTTCTGTGATTAAACTCTGAGGCTGGTTTGTGACCACAATGATCCAGATTAATCTAACGAGGCTGAGAGTGAGCGCCGGGTGCCCGCTGACCATATGTTATTAAAAACAGCAGGAAACAGTTGACTCATGGAGAAATCAGACTGCAGTTAGAGTGGGAGAGCAGCAGAGGGTGCCACAGCACTGTGACGGGACGTAAGAGGAGCTGATGGAGGAGAAAATGAGTGTGTGTGAGGTCTAAGCTTGTGAGCTGCGAACAGTTAACAGGTTTCAGCACTGTGGGCAACTTTAACCTGGCAGGGAAGAGGACACCAGACATTACTTGGGGCATGATTGAAGCTTCTGTTTCCAGAAAATCCGGCCTCTCTTAGCAGATACGGCTGTTTAAACACAACATACAGACCTCTGACTCTCTGAGCGAGTGTGTATGAGGAGGAAGAGTGACGGCGAGCATGAAGGTGCAGCAGGAACTCACTCTGTGTCAGTGTCCGTGAGAGTCAGCTCAGAGTCTGCTTCGCTGTCTCTGGAGTCCGGAAGACCTGAAACACACACAAACATCTGTACTGCTATCACTGTGAGGACCTCATCCTCATCCTTCACCATGAACTGCAGAACCGCTGACCCTGATCTAGGTGGATTTTCTTTAAATGACATCCTGTTCCTATTCACCAGGTCATGAGATGGAAAAAAAAAAAAAAAAGAGAGATCATGGATCTCGAGTCTAAATTATCTTAAACATGATTTAGACTCGTGCGCTCTCCTCTCACCCAGAATCAGCTTTCCCACAGACACAATGCTTTCATGGTCCGATCTCTGCAGGTCTTCCTCCTCCTGCATCTCTCTGCTCCAGGCCTGAGGACAAAAATCACCAAATAACTACAAATACATACAGAAGCAGAATGTCACGACTTTTGTTCTGACCTTCATCCGGTCACGCAGAAATCAGCCTTTAGAAAACACACGAATGTTAAACTGCTGAACTTTTTCCATTAAAAACATGCTGGAAATATTAATACCCAAAAATGAACAGTATGAAAGAAAATGGAGATAAGGTGTGTCTGAGCCTAAAACCACCTGAGTGTAGGTGGAGTCAGGAGAGCATATGGTTCTCCAGCTCTTTCCCCTGTAAAAACAGTGCTTCTCAACCCGCCGTACCGCCAACGGGCAGTTTGGACACGTCAGATCAATCAAGTTGTGCTTTAGAACAGTTTCTGGGTTTTTTGGGGCGTCGCTGCAGAGGCAGCACCGGGGGTGGTGCTGCCTCTGCAGCGACGCCCCAAAACCCCCAGAAACTGGTCACGGAAACATGGGGGACCGTAGGCAGGGTAATGAGTTCTCGCCAATACCTCGCCACTCGTAGCCGTTCACTTCATGTTTTGTGTGAGCGAGTCAACGTCAATGAAACTTCCCCTTGCTTGTCAACTCACCTCATCTGCCCCCCCAGCTCGGGTAAGGGAGGCCAACTTCCACTCTTCCCAAGATGGTGGGGGTTTCCCGGGGGCGGGGCTCACGCTGTCCTCCGGCTCTACCTCCTCTTCATCAACACCCATTTCCCTGAATTCCTCCTCTGGCCGGAGGTCAGAGGTCAGAGAGGAGGTGGCGTAGCGAGGGAGAGCATCCAGGATCAGCTCTGGCTCCTCCTCCTCTTCCTCCTCCAGATGAAGGCTCTGTGGAAGGATGGCGGCCTCGCTGAAACCCTAAAACACAGACGGCAGCATTCAGAGACGAAGCTCCAGAGGAGCGACCGCGTAATTAAGACAGAAATGACGACAGGAAGTCCAGCAGCTTCAAACTTCACCAGTGAGCTCAGGTTCACCATGTCTGAAGAATGTTCAGCCTCCAACGTGTCACGAGATGCATCGATAAACACACAGAGACATTTTTCACCTGGCAGCAGTGCAGAGACGTAATCAAATGCAATTGACTAAACAGTGTCATTAGCCATTTGCTCTGATTGGCTGTATTTCTGTCTGCTTGCGTTAGACGTGATTTTTATCATTCCTGTAAGCACTCAGCTTTGTTGGCCAGATCGCCTTTAAAAACATAGATTTGAATCTGAAAGGACTTTCTGGTTTCTCAGCTCGTTTCTGCTCTTTAATGGTTTCTTGTTTCTCACACCTGCTCAGAGGACAGGTGCGAGAAATAATGAAACACTCACAGCCGAGATGACTCCCGTGTCTGTGGAAAACAAACAAGATGACTCAATTTGGATTTCTGGAGGTCGTGAAGGACAAAAGGAGGCAGAAATCAGAATCCATCATGGTTCCCAGTGTTTCATGTGAAAGTGTGAGAGTGTCTCTGCAGCTCGCACTAAATCTAAAACTCGCCTGACTTTGGACATTAGCCTTCATCTCCAACTCCCCAAAGAGCCTCCTCAGCAGATACTGAGGGGATATCCTGTTCTTAACATTACGATGCAGACATTAGCCCGCGCCGGGAAATATTAATGACAACACTTAGGCTAATTTCCATCGACGAAGCCTCATCGTCAAGGACTCTGCTCCTCTTCTTTTAATTTGGGCCCGGGAAGCCGGCCCATCACGGCGTATAATGGAGGTGAGGAGTAGACGGCGGCAGCGGCAGAGAGCTCATAATGCTAACAGGATGTTCTGCAGACTGATGTGTATTGGCCGTGACTGCCTGGCCTCATATTCATAAGATTTAAAGACGCTGTCATTTAATATCTCTGCCATTAGACGATGAGGACGGAGCATCGCTGCAGCGCCGCGGTTCATGTGAGGATCCTCAACGACTGTCTTCACCGCCTCGCTGCAACGACTGCAGAGTCACATGACTACATGACAATCCTCACAGGAAAGAAAAAAAATTAAAAAACAAACAAAAAAAAAACAAAACTGCATCACTCCCACAGGAAACTCCACCAACAGCCATGTTTCTGCTGTGTGACAGAAACAAAGGTCAGAGGTCGCACCTAGGCTTACAGTCTTTAATGATCCTCCTTCTGCAGCTGAAACAACCACAGCTGCAGTTCCCCTGACGTCCAGCAGAGGCAGTAGTGAGTCACTCCACATAGACTCCCACGTTTCCCTCCTCTTCATAACTGTGCAGGGGACGTTTTAGCTTTCTTGGGGCGTGGCCTCTGTGACTGACAGGTGGATGGAGACACAGGTGGCTGTAGCTGCTAGCTGTCTGCTAGCGTCACGTGAACTGGACCTCTGGACCGTCAAAATGACATAATCTGACCAATAACATGGCCGCTGTAAGGTTACTGTACTAACAGACCTTCAAACCTCACACAGCAGAGGAATTTAACCGGAAGTCCTGTAGACAAATCAAAGTCTGACAGGCTTCAGTTTTAAACCCAGAGCTTCTGAAGCTACTGCTGAAACGTTCAGAAATCCATTTGGCCAAAGTGGGCAGTAATCCGATTACTGCAGTGGAGACACTGAGCAGCGTGGTTTTACAGCCTTCTCAGTAAAATAAAGTGAAGCAGCAGTAAACTGGGTCTTGAGTGTCCTCTGGGTTCCTCCGGCTCGCTTTCTGTCGTACGCAGGCTTCAGCCGGCTGAACGCGCCGTGGCAGCTCTTTATCTGCACAAACAGGAGCAGAATGAAGTGAAACGACGGCAGTAGCTCGTTCTTGCACACCTGACCTCTAAAAGTTAACGAGGCGTGAGCGTGTAACGGGGTCTCTCTCTGGTCAGTGTGACAGAGAAGGATCCGGCAGCAAAGTGTAAGTGCCGACCCGGCCGTCTTTATGGAAACCCATCAGAGACCTGTGGGCTGTGAAAAAACCTCTTCAGCCAAATGGGCTGCATATAAAAGAGGAAATAAAACAGCGGCACAGAGGACGGCGACGGCACAGGACACGAAGAAGAGCAGAACTCAGCAGAAATGGCAGAACAAAGACGAGCTCAGCGGGCTGATGCTTCACAGACACGTGTGCAGATATCAGAGGCTTCTGCTTTTCTTCAGCAAATCACAACCACCTGCTCAGGTACGGAGCAGTGACACGACAAACGCTCCGAAAATGAATCCACGTGTTGCTAAACACACAAATCAGCAACTATAATAGGACGCCTACCCGCAAAGGTCAGCAGTTCGATTCCCGGCTCCCCCATCGTACTGCACGTGCGTGTGTGGATGCGTGCATGTGTGGGTGCATGCATGCATGCGTGTGTATATATATGTGTGTGTGTGACTGAATGAGGTTTGCAGTAAAAAGCGTGATACATGTATCAGTCCGTTTGACATGCATTAAAATGTATCTGATGGTGCTTCTGTAATTATTTATTTAAAAAGGTTGAACTCAGTCATCAATTTCTGTGTTTACTCATGAACACAGTCCCCTCTGTTTATTTTCTTACTCCTTTTCTCAAGTTTTACATTAATTTTTGGAAAATTTTTCCCAAACTTTTTTCTGTGCTTCTACTCAGCAAAGACGGACTGAAAAAGAAATTCACTTTTGTTTTTAATATTTCACGTGTGTGAGGGTTCATTCATTTATTCACTGGATTATTTATTACTTTGATTTTGACAGCTGCGATCTTAATGATGTCACACTGTGATGTCACAAACTGCAGACAAAAAAACGTAACAATGTCTCAGTTTCTGTAAAAATTTCTGTCCATAAGTATCTGTGCAAAGACAAACAGCTTGTATTCTTCTCTGTCTGCAGTATTAGTGAGTCGTAGTACTGCAGTACTACGTGTACAGATGCTGGAGGACCAGAGTGTCCTCAGAGTACCCCCCTCCACCCCTCCACTTAAGAGAGATGCTGCTGCTGGTTGAGCTGATGGAGCACTTTATACCATTCAACCATCCCGCTGAGTCAGCAGCTTCACAGAGACAGAGAGGAGGGAGAGGAGGGTGAAGGAAGGTGAAAGAGAGGAGAGGAGGAGGAGGAGGAGGAGGAGATGAAAGAGCAGCAAGAGAGAGAGAGAAAGATGTGGAGGAGATGATAGAGGAGAGGGGAGCATGGAGGTGAAGGCACAAGAGTGAAGAGCAGTGAGATGGAAGAAAGCAGGAAGAGGGAAGATGACGTCATGGCGGGTTATCAGCGCTGACGTCGAGCTCTCGGCTCGTTTCATGGACAGCTGAGCTCATGTACAAGGAGGAAGGTGCAGAAACATGACGGCCATTAAACATCCAAATGAAATCTGAGGAAAGAGAATCTCACTTTCTGTTGGCCCGACTCACTGCTCCCAGTATTGCACTGGGCTGATGACACGCTCATTTTTATAAGTGTAAGGACCAAAGTCCTGTACTCTTCGCTCCCAGTTTCAGAGATGTTTTCAGCACATTTCACCACAGGAACGACCTCATAGCAGATTTTCCATCTTATTTGGATCCGATATGGAACCAGCCTCCGCACGTTCTGCTCACTGCAGAACGTCTGCACCTGTTTCTGATATTTAATAAAACTGTTTCATGGCTGAATGTTTCTGCTTTACAGACTTTATTATTTATCTGAGCAGCGCCTGTTAAATCTGCAGATTTCTGACTGCGATCAGAACATGCCAGTAAAATCTCATGATTTTTGAATGGAGTTTGGTGTAAAGTCCTGCAGCTGCTGCATCAGTGGCTGGTTTCAGGTGAGGTCCCTGCCCCCCACCTTACACTTCATCTCAGAATATACTACTTTAAAGAAGTGAGCGTCCTGCGCACTCTGGTAACCAAATTTAAAAGCTCCTGATCAGAAATAATCAAAAAAAAGGATCTTTTAAATTCAAACTCACTCCACTCAGTCTGAACAGAGCAGCCATTTCTCTTCATCCCTGTCACGCTCTACATATTTATTTACATTCATTCGGCCCTCGATTCATCTTTCTTTATGGTCAGATGCTCTGGCAGCGCCGTTCATCTGGTATCCAGACTAATAAAGCAAACTGAAGTGAAAGGAGAGCAGGAAGAAGAGATTAAGACAGAAAGATTTCCATTTGGAAGATGAACACAGATGGAGGGAGCAGAGCAGCGAGGGAGGAGGTGAGCGATGTGACGGGGGACAAAATCTTAATGTCCAATTAGTCTGGACTGATTAACGTTTCTAACAGAGACAGTCAGAGCCCACTTTATTAGGTACACCTGCAAAATCCATCACAGATCAAACTGTACAACCTTTATACTGAAACTATTTGCACTTTTCTTGTTCCCACGGCGTGCGTTCACGTGAAACGCGTTTCTAATTCAAACGTACACACAGACACACACACACACACACACACACACTGCTGTTTAATGCCTTCATTCAGAGCAGGAAACTCAGTGAGGTCACAAAGGCAGCAAGGGTTCAAGTAAAAAGGAAGCAAGTGAGGAGTCCAACTGTGTGCTTCACCATCATCAGAATCCAAACCATGAGAGCAAGATAAAGGACAGAACAGCCTTAGAGAGAGCTCAACAGCAACAATATCCTCACATCACTGAGGATGTGAATGCCCTCCATCGCTATTAGCATCATGTGTGTGTGTGTCTGTGTGTGTACCTTTGCCACAGGTAGTGATGTGCTGCTGTCCTCTCTCCTCCTCTCTGGTGCCTCCACCTACACAAACATGCAGATCAGAGTGAAGTCAGGTCCATCCACAGAGGAAGACTACAGAAGAATGTGGAGGCATGAAGGTTCACCACAACTGCACGGTGCTCTCCCAGCGGGAGGCCGAGGTAAGATTTCAGCAGGTAAGAGTCCACTGCAGTTCATTCATGTGATGCAGACAGAAGGGGTTCTTTTCATTTACTCTCGCAGCTCTGACATCGCTGCAGAATCACTTTCCCAGTGATGGGATTATATTTGCTGGTGGATGAACAAACACTGGAAGCGGTTGATTTATGCGTTCAGGCATAAAACACCTTCAAACCTCGGACCTACCAGTCTGAACCAAAAACCAGGAAATCTGGGTCCATGTTAGTCACCTGCTCAGCCAGGTGAGCAGGTGACTAACCTGCCAAAGCTTAGCTCAGGGGTCAGGGTTACGTTTTGGACTTACCACCAGAGGCTTCCGGATTCCCAGGCGGACCGTACCAGGCGGAGCACACTTGAGAACCTCGACAGCCTCGGCCAGACTGAGCATGTCCAGCTGGGTGCAGTTGACTGACACAAGCTGGTCTCCGGGGAGCAAACCGCCGTGGAGCTCCGCTGAACCGCCAGGTACCAGAGACCGGATCACCATCACACATCTGCCGGGGTCCAGCGGGTCCTGCGAGCCAGAGAGGAAAAACGTTAAAGCAGAACACCAAATTTTACCTCCTGTAGTCTGATGCTACAGTCAGGACTGGGCGGATGCCATTGCCCCCAACGAGGGTCGATCTGTCGTTTTAATCACATAAAATGGAAATATTAGCCCCTCCCCTGGAATAATTACACTTGAAATGACCTTGTGTTTGAGTGATCTACAACTGATGGACCAACAAACTTTTGTCCGGCAGAAATGCCAACTTTAAGGAACCTGGGAGATCGGAACATTGTGGTTTGGAAAGTTGAAAACATCCATCTTTCCAAACCGAAAACAGCACAAAGACAGAAATGCTCAAATCTTCAAAGCTTCAAAAGAAAACCACAAAAGGTGGCGAGTCCACTCACCTCCTCCTCACCTCCTAAGACTACCCGACCTGTATGAGAACCTTCACGGACTCTTGTGTCTATGTTTGGTATACCGAGGCCATTAGAGCAGCTCCCAGTTTTAGTTTCAGCAAGTTTAAAACAAAGAGCTGGAAATCTTTAACCAACTCTCAGCCCAGCATGACCGACCCCAGATCAGCCGAGCTCATATTTCACACAGAGTCGAGGGAAGTGGGACAACGACCATTACAGATCATCCTGTCTGTTTCATCACTCTCACAGGGAAGAGCGAAGAAGACACACCGCCATCATCATCACCACCATCACCACAGAGGACAGGCAGGGGGAGCCAGAGACCAGAGAAATAACAGCAAACACATTCACACAAACACACAGACGTGAGGAAGACGAGGCTAAGGACGTTCAGCGACTGATGAAGACGAGACCACAAGAGTCTGCGGACGTTAAAACCAGACTGAACTCATTCAAAGACCCCGGGGAGCAGTTCGTCTTCTCAGGACAGCTGACCCGCTTCCTGTTTCACACCAATACAGAAAGAAAAAGCAAAGACGAGGCAAAGAAAATAACCAAGAAATTAAAACTCAGGGTGGGGGGGGGGTCAAAAGTTTAAGAGGTAGGGTACACATAGACACGTCGGCAGTCTGTCCAAGCACGCAGACGTGACAAATATCTGCCACGACGCTGAAAATCTGTTTTTCTTTCTCTGAATCTAAATTTCATGTAAAATATCCATCTATCCATCCATCCCTGTTTGGGCCGAGTGTCAGCACTCTGAGAGAATTAATCTGAGCATTTGGTTTGTGATGGTCGCTGCTGAGGGCAGCAGTAAATAAGCAGCTTTTATCCTGCTCATGTTATTAGTCATGTGCTGTAAAAAAAAA